TGCTCTTCCGATCTTCAACTTTGGTCGTGTATGTTTTTTAAAATAAATATAAAATATTTTTTTCCAGTTTCTGTCCAAGCTGGACGGTTTTTTGGTTGCATTTTTTGACCGACCAACGTTGATTGGAAAATTTTGATCGGTTTTTTTTGCGTATTTCTAGTAGTGAAAGAAAAACTCACTACTAGGGATAGACTTGTGAAGATCATAATTAGTATATATAATTTATCATCAAATATATCTATTTGTAAATTGATTCATCGACTTATAACTTACTTAGATGCATCGTTGAATATTAAAAACAAAACGTTTGACATATATCTATTAATAGTAAAATAAAACGTCGCGACCTATATCTATTAATAGTAAAACAAAACGTCTCAACCTATATCGATTAATCTATGTCACGCATTATTAGTGATGAATGAATGAAAAATAGAAGAATTAATACTAAACATCTTTGACATGTATATATATATCGAATTCCCGATTCCGAGGTCGTTTACTCAAAAATCCAATCTTAGTCAATTCTTTCAACTTAAAGCTTCCGAAAGGAGAATTCTCTCTCCAAATCAACTCCGAAACTTCCCGGAATTCAATTCCGACACGCGTACAAGTCATAATACCTGAAGTGAAGCTACTCAGGGCTTCAAACCGCTGAACGATGCGCTAGAGCTTAAAACGACCGGTCGGGTCGTTACACACACACACACATACACACACACACAACACACACACACACACACATATATTATATATATATAATATATATATATATATATATATATATATATATATATATATATATACATGTCAAAGATTTAGTATTAATTCTTCTATTTTTCATTCATTCATCACTAATAATGCGTGACATAGATTAATCGATATAGGTTGATGAGACGTTTTGTTTACTATTTAATAGATATAGGTCGCGACGTTTTATTTTACTATTAATAGATATATGTCAAACGTTTGTTTTTAATATTCAACGATGCATCTAAGTAAGTTATAAGTCGATGAATCAATTTACAAATAGATATATTGATGATAAAATTATATATACTAATTATGATTCTTCACAAGTCTATCCCTAGTTAGTGAGTTTTCTTTCACTACTAGAAATACGCAAAAAAAACCGATCAAAATTTTCCAATCAACGTTGGTCGTCAAAAAATGCAACCAAAAACCGTCCAGCTTGGACAGAAACTGGAAAAAAAATATTTTATATTTATTTTAAAAAACATACACGACCAAAGTTGGTCGTAAATTGGTCAACAAGTTGACCGAGCTGGTCAGACTTGCTCAGTCAAATAAACTTTCACATTACCGACCAACTTTGGTCGGTAATGTGGACCCAATTTTTTAAATTTTAATAGTTATTATTATTATTTAAAATATTTTATAAAATTTAAAGATTTTTTATTTAAATTTACCGACCAACGTTGGTCGCGTTAATGCAGGGAAGCATTTACCGACCAACTTTGATCGGTATATTTAATTTTTGGAAAATAACCGACCAAAGTTGGTCGGTTATTAGGTCAACATTAGTCAAAATTATGAAATATAATTTATCATCAAATATAATCTATTTGTAAATTAATTCATTAAACTTATAACTTTCTTAGATGCATCGTTGAATATTAAAAATAAAATTATATATATATATATATTATATATTATATATATATATATATATATATAATATATATATATATATATATATATATATGTGTGTGTGTGTGTGTGTGTGTGTGTGTGTGTGTGTGTGTGTGTATAACATGCTTCGTTGTACTACTTTAACAACATATATAGCATGTTATAGTATTTGTTATAGTATATATTAGTGTATTTATTATTTGTATTACAAAAGTGTTAACGGATTACATTTATATTATTTAGATAGTAAATATAAAAGTGATTTATAATTTTGACTAATGTTGACCTAATAACCGACCAACTTTGGTCGGTTATTTTCCAAAAATTAAATATACCGATCAAAGTTGGTCGGTAAATGCTTCCCCTGCATTAACCGGCCAACGTTGGTCGGTAAATTTAAATCAATTCTTTAAATTTTATAAAATATTTTAAATAATAATATAACTATTAAAATTTAAAAATTGGGTCCACATTACCGACCAAAGTTGGTCGGTAATGTGAAAGTTTATTTGACTGAGCAAGTCTGACCAGCTCGGTCAACTTGTTGACCAATTTACCGACCAACTTTGGTCGGGTATGTTTTTTAAAATAAATATAAAATATTTTTTTTCAGGTTTCTGTCCAAGCTGGACGGTTTTTTGGTTGCATTTTTTGACCGACCAACGTTGATTGGAAAATTTTGATCGGTTTTTTTGCGTATTACTAGTAGTGAAAGAAAAACTCACGCCTCAAAAGGGATTTATAAGATGGCATTTGGAATCATTCAAATACTTATTGGAAGTGCATAAATCCTTGATAATAAAAACGAGTATTCAAATTCTAAAAAAAAAATTATTAAATAGTCAAATTATAACTCTAATTACGTACGATGAAATCTAATACAGTACGGCAACAAATCCAAATCAAAGTCAAAAAAGGTATACAACGTTTACATTATTATCACGTTCCTAAATGGAGTAGCACTCTCACGTTTGGACCATTTCCAATTAGGATTATAGCCGTTTGGCGAAACTGCAAAAATTCAGCTTATTTTGAGAAATGTTTTTTCTTTAAAAGTATTTTTCTCAAAAGTACTAGAAGCAGTTTGTGTTTGGCTAATTAATTGTAAAGCACTTATGAACAGTTTGGGCCAAGCTTTAAAAAATTGCTTTTAAGTGTATTTTTCTCAAAAGTGCTTTTGAAGAGAAGCTACTTTTTTTTTTTCTCAAAACTGCTCCTGCTTCTCCTCAAAAGCACTTTTTTTTTCTTTTCAAAAACTTGGCTAAACACTTCAATTTTAAAAAAAAAACATTTTTGGCCAAAAAAAATGTTTTTGCCTAAAAAAAATTTGGCCAAATACGCTACGAGGAGTGTGGAACCAACGCGTATATATAAAAGGAATAATCAAAACCCCACAACTATAAATAGGAGCCGTACTGGTCAATAATTCCCAACCACTGTCTTACAATTCAACCATCATCTATCGATTTGGTCAA